CACAGACCGGGCGTTGGGGACCTCTGACGTATAGCACATTGCACATAAGAATACTTAAAAATGTATCTTATCCACCTGTGTTTTAAAATGTACCTGTTAATAGTTTACTGTTGTTGAATCAAGGTTCAGAAGATTTTCCTTCTTTTATGTAGGCTCTTAAGTTGTGAAAATACATTATAACATTGTTTAGTAACGTGTGTGTTCTCTTAATATCACTAATCTGAACATTTTTTAAAATGTCATCAAGTAAATACAAATTAATAGCTAAAGAAACACTTGCTTTTTTATTGAAATAGAACAAATTTTCAGTGATGGACCATTTACATTAAAATCTGACAGTCAAAAACTGAAAATAGAAATTGCACTAACATATCCTTTAATCATAATTGTACTCATTTTTTAATTATTAGTAAAAACACATAATTAGATTCCTATAATAATAACAGGCTCTCCTTACAAAGTAAACCTGGCTTTTTTTAAACAAAATGACAATGAATACATACATCTTCTGATAACTTTTAGCAATTATAATTTAATCATAATTAAAATGACATTAGTATAAGAAACAATTGCACTTTAAAACATTTGAAAAATTAAAAAAGTACACAAAACATAACCCCACAATTGTACATTTGTTTATAATTTTATACACCACTATATGAACAATAGAGGTTAATAATCCATAACCTCAAATAATATTTTATCTCCAGCCTAGAAGAAGTTAGTTATTCTCAACACCTATTAATCTATAGGATAATTTAGTTGTGACTGACTTGAACCTTAAAAATTTCACAGGACTTGAGTATGATTAACTTCTTCTTGATCATGACCTCTGCATACAAGTTACCAAAAAAAGAAAAAAGAAAGAAAGAAAGAAATTGTATTCTACATAGTGGTTGGATCAATTTATAAGTGTTGGAATTTATTCCATATCGGTTTGTATTTCACAGAATTTCAACAGTTTGTTCATTAAGAAAGGCTGCAACAAAGCTAAAGCAAAGTAACACTTCGTTGGTATTTAGTGCAAAAGTTCAAGTTGACTTTACATGAAATGATAATGTTGAAAATATAGGCTTTTAGAAATGCTTTCTAACAAGCATTGTACATATTCCTGCTCTGATCCAGTCACTGCTGCTTGAGTGGAAATGGGTTTTCCCCTTAAAATTACAGAAGTGTGTGATGCATAGGCCCCATATCCAGTACCTGCTCTA